TTCCTTTGGGTTCAATTCCACCTTCAGGTGACTGTGTTTCATTTGCTCATTCTTCCCTCCTGTCTGTGGGCTTCCTCCCACAGGGCGAAGATGTACAGGTTAGCTGTGCTAAATTGCCCATAGTGTTTAGGGATGTGTAGATTAGATGGGTCTGGGTGGGCTGCTCTGAGGGTCGGTGTGGGCTCGTTGGGCTGAAGGGCCTTTTTCCACACTGTAGGGATTCTATGAAATATGCTTCCAGACCTGCTAAGTTTCTGCAGCATTTTCAGTTTTTGTTGCTGATTTCAAGGGGATGTAATGGCCTTGTAGTATTATTGCTGGACTGTTAATCCAGAGACCCAGATAATGTTCTGGGGACCCGGGTTGAAGTCCCACCACAGCAGATGGTGGAATTTGAATTCAATAAATATCTGGAATTAAGAGTCTAATGATGACCATGAATCCATTGTCGATTGTTGGAAAAACGCATCTGGTTCACTAATTGCCTTGGGGGAACAAAACTGCCATCCTTACCTGGTCTGACGTACACGTGACTCCAGACCCACAGCAATGTGGGTGACTCTTCATTGCCCTCTGGGTAATTAGGGACGGGTAATAAACGTTGCCTGGCCAGTCATGCACTGAATAACACAATAATTATAGCATGTGCAGTATTTCGCTTTTGTTTGAGTTGGGTGAAGAGGAGGAAACTACATTATGAAACAACTTGACTTACGTTCCTTCTCCATTTCTGATTTGTCCAATACGTAAACCATTTGATAATCGCCACCTAATGTCCCAGAGGCACTATAATGTGTACCATAGTTCTCCAGGAATTTAAAGTACAATCCTTTGTCATATTCCGTTGGCAGATTCTTCAGGTCCACGATGAAATCTTCATCAAGTATATAGCGACTGGTTCGCATGTTAAATTTTGCCAGCTGAATTTGACCCTTCACCCGGAAGTATTCATTTGTCTAGGTTTTGAATAAATTTGTAAGAATGAGTTATCTATTTCTGAATGAAAATTAAATCTTACCACAAGAAATAAGGAGCCTGGAGTCAGTCTCACACTATTCCTGCACATTCACATGTCTGCATTGTACTCCCCGGAGTATCCTTGTCTATGGCCCCATGCTCACATATAACTCCCACCCTGCCTCATCCAAACTGCGCATACACTTCTACTCTTCCAAACCAGTCAGCCATCCTTCCCCCATCTCACATGTACCCATTCCCAGCTCCAAGGGGTAGTATGAGAGGTTATTTCTCACTGGGTGACATAGAGAGGTTTGGTTAGCTCAGTTAGCTGCATGACTGGTTTCTAATACATTGTGATGCCAACAGCATGGGTTCTGTCCCTGCATTGGTTGCAGTTCCCATAAGGTCTCGCTGAGGTGTGGTGATACCCAGGTTAAATTGCCACCAGTCAACTCCCACACTTCTGGGTATCCCTGTGTCTCTCCTGTGTTCTTTCTCCCATGTGCTTTCACTCTCTCTCTGTCCCATGTTCACTCCATCTTTCCCCCTTGCTTGCTCTCTTTCTGTTTGGTCATACAATTCCTACAGTGTGGAAGCAGGTCATTCAGCCCATCGAGCCCACACTGACCCTCTGAAGAGTATCCCACCCAGACCAACGCCCCCAACTATCCCTGTTACCTTGCATTTCCCATGGCTAACGCACCCAGCCTGCTTATCCTTGGACACTATGGATAATTTAGCATGGCCAATCCACCCTGGCCTGCACATGTTTGGACTGTGGGAGGAAATTGAAGTACCCGGAGGAAACCCACACAGACACGGGGAGAACGTGCAAACTCCACACAGACAGGCGCCCAAGGGTGGAATTGAACTTGGGTCCCTGAGGCTGCAGCGCTAACCACTGAGTCACCCATGTTCTATTCCCTTACTTTATCTCTACTTTTATTGCACTGTCTGTAACCTCCATTCTGTCCTCCTCTGTCCCTCTCTCCTATGCTCCAAATCCACCCCACACTCCATTTGCTTGGAGCAAGAACAGGCCATTCGGCCCTTTGAGTCTGCTCTGTCATTCAATAAGATCATGGCTGACCATCCATCTCAGTCCCCGTGTTCCTGCTTTCTCCCCAAAGTCTTTGATCCCTTTATCCCTAAGAATTCCATCCAACTGCTTCTTGAGACCGTTCAATATTTTGCCCTCAGCCGCTTTCTGTGGTAGAGAATTCCATAGGCTCCCCACTCTCTGGGTGAAGACATTTCTCCTCATCTCAGCCCTAACTGGCCTACCCTGTTTCCTAAGACTGTGACCCCCACCACTCTTGTTATCAGGAACATCCTTCCTGCATCCCCCCTGTCTAGTCCTGTTAGTCTTTAACAGGTTTCTAAGGGACCCACTGTCCCTCAATCTGCTAAACTCCAGTGAATATAACCCAAACTGATCCAGTCTCTCTTCAGATATCAGTCCTGCCATTCCAAGCATCAAACCTTTGCTGCACTCCCTCTATCGCCAGAATACCCTTCCTCAGATAAGGCGGTACACTTCTCTCTTTCCCTGCGCTTTCCCTACTCTCTCTGTGTAGTCCTGCCTCCCCATTCCAAGAGGAAGTTTGATCTCTTCGATCAGGGGTATACCTGGGACTGATTGTGACTTAGCAGGACCTCAAGATTTCGCGACTTGTTGAGATTGAATCCAACACCAGCCGTGGAACTGAGCTGATTAGACTTTATGGTCAGAGAGAATCCAACATTGAAATTACTTGTGGTCTCTTCCATGATCTTTGTGACAACTTCAGATGAACTCTCATATACCTCGGTGGTGAAGGCTTGTCTAGCTTGTGTCTGGATGAATAGAGTCAAACAATTCAAGAATACAATGTTAGAGTACAGAATGGATATAGCATGGACATGTATCACTGGCTCGCAGCAAGGCTATTCACCTTATTCTATTCCCCAATGTCTCCCTGAAAACCCCGCAGAGATCAGTTCAGATAAAGATTGAATCCTTGTTGAAACCCCTGAGGGGAATTTCCTCCTCTACCCTCAGCCCCTGCTTGAAAAAGCCCTGAAACCCCACTCCACAGGCTGATGTTACCAAGGACAGAGGACCATACAGAGGTCCACCCCTGTCAATGCCCATGTAGACCCGTCGCCCTGGTGGGAGACTCCATTGACCCCTCCTACACAACAGACAGACCCCGTTCCCACGGAGGATAAAACAATCTCTCCTTTGTAACACAGTGTTCTCCACAAGTGAACCTTACCTGATAGGTAAAAAGTGCAATATTCCAGGGGATACGGAAATGGGTCCTTCTGTTTCCATCATAGACAATTTCACATAGGCCATTGTAGAGTTTGTTGTTGAAGGGGCTTTTCCGAGGCTCCATCCCAAAGATGTTCATCCTAAAAAACAAGGTCCAACTCAGTCATTCAGCATAAAACAACCCCTAGGTGCAAATGGCTGGTTCTCCTCCACTCCTGTTTCTCCTCTCCTTCTGTCTCTTCCCTCACTCCCTCTGTGGCCCCTTCCTCCCTCCCTCAATCCCTCTGTCTTTTCCTCTCTCTGTGTCCTTCTCCATTCTCCCTTCCTCTTTCCATCCCCTCCCTTTTTCCGCAAAAAGTCCTCTCTTCAGACTGTTGTCCTTTTTTATCCTCAAGAGAATATCCCTCACTGTCATAAAAACCAAAAGAACTGCAGATGCTGTAAACCAGGAACAAAAACAAAGTTGCTGAGGAAGGGTCACCGGACCCGAAACGTTAACTCTGTTTACTCCTCCACAGATGCTGCCAGACCTGCTGAGCTTTTCCAGCAACTTTGTTTTTGTCCCTCACTGTCATCCTTTCTTTTCCAAACTGTCTTGTTCACTATCATTCATGACTGGATGTGACAGAACTGCAAAACTTCCATCTAATTCATTGGTTGTGGGATTGTTTGGCAGCCTAGCAGTTATGTCCTTTAGGACCAGACCAGCTTGATCAGTAGTACCATTGCCAAGCCACTCTTGATGGTGGATTTTGAAATCCTGTGCCCTTGCCATCCTCAGTGCTTCCTCCAAGTGTTGTTCAATATGGAGGAATACTGATTCATCAGCTGAGAGAGGACAGTATGTGGTAATCAACAGGAGGTTTCCTTGCCCATGTTTAACATGAAGCCATCAGATTTCATGGGGTACGGAGTCAATGTTGGGGACTCCCAGAGCAACTCCCTCCCAACTGTATCCCACTGTGCCGCCACCTCTGCTGGGTCTGTCCTGCCGGTGGGACAGGGATGGTGATGGTGGAGTCTGGGACATTGTCTGTAAGGTATGATTCTGTGAGCATGACTATGTCTGGCTGTTGCTTGACTAGTCTGTGAGACAGCTCTCCCAATTTTGGCACTAATCCCCCAGATGTTAGTGAGGAGGGCTTTGCAGGGTCGACAGGGCTGTTTCTGCCGTTGTCTTTTCCGGTGATTAGGTCCATCCAGTCTCATTTCTTTTTCAAGACTTTTTATGATGGAATGGCTTGCTCATCCATTTCAGAGTCAGTCGCATTGCTGTGGGCCTGGTTGCCAGGCCAGGTAAGGATGGCAGATTTCCTTTCCTAAAGGATATTAGTGAACCAGATGGGATTTTATGACAATTGGTAATAGTTATAGGGTCATCATTAGGCTTTTTAAAAACAGAGTTCTTAAGAATTCAAATTGCAACATTTGCCATAGTAGCATTCAAGCCCAAATTTCCATTCAATTTCCTGGGTATCTGGATTACAATACCACTCAGCCGTTACCTCCCTCCAATGTCTGTCTGTCTGTCTCTTTCCAGACCATTTGTAAGCCATCTCTCTCTCTCTCTTTCTCTTTCTCTCTCCAGACTGTTTCTCTTCCCCTGTTCTCATACTGCTATCTTTCTCTCTGACTGAAAGGGCAAAATGCAATACAGCACAGGAACAGGCCCTTCAGCCCATCAAAACTCCCTGTCACACTATGCCTTTTGAAACTAAAAGCCTTTTGCCACTATGTGGTCTGTGTCTCTCTATTCTCTGCCTATTCATGTATCTGTCAACATGCCTCTTAAATGTTGCACTTACCACCTACTGTGTAAAAAACCTGCCTCTCATATCTCCTTTAAACTTACCCCCTTTCACCTTAAACATATGTCCCCTAGTAATTGATATTTTTACCCTGGGAGAAATGACTCTGACTATCCATTCTATCCCTGCGTCTCATAAGTTTGTAAACTTCTATCAGGTCCCCCATCATCCTTCAACATTCAAGTGAAAACAAAGCAAGTTTGTCCAATTTCTCCTCATAGCTAATACCCGCCAAGCCAGGCAACATCTCTACACCTTGTTATCTCTAACATCCTGGTAAACTGTTTCTGTGCCCTCTCCAAAGTCTCCACATACTTCTGGCAGTGTGGCAACCAGAACAGTATGCAATATTCCAAATGTGGCCTAACTAAAGTTCTCTACAGCTGCAACATGACTTGCCAACATTTAAACTCAATGCCCCGATCGATGAAGGCCAACATGCCATATGCCTTCTTGACCACCTTACCACTTTCAGGGAACTGGGGACCTGTCCATCTAGATCCCTCTGTATGTTGAAGCTACTAAGGGTTCTGCCATTTACTGTATACTTCCCTCCTGCTTTAGATCTCCTAAAAATGCATCACTTCACATTTGTTCAGATTAAACTCAATCTGCCATTTCTCCACCCAAGTCTCCAGCTTATCAATACCTTGCTGTATCCTTTGGCAATCGTCCTCACTATCCAAAGCTCTCCTAATCTTTGTGCCATCCACAAACATATTAATGACACCTAACTATTTATGTCTCTCTCTCTCTCGCTCTCCCCCTCTGTCTTCAGGTTGCACTGGAGGGGGTGCAGAGGGAGATTCACCAGAATGTTACCTGGGGTGGAGCAGTTTAACTATGAAGAGAGGCTGGAGAAGCTCGGTTTGTTTTTTTTGGAGCAGAGAAGGCTGAAGGGGGACGTGATTGAGGTGGATAAGATTATGAGGGGCATAGACGGAGTGAATAGGGGGCAGCTGTTCCCCTTAGTTAAAGGGTCAATAATATAAAAATGATTTAGATAAAAATGTAGATGGCTGTGTTAGTAAGTTTGCGGATGATACAAAGATTGGTGGAGTTGTGGATAGCGTTGTCAAGGGATACAGCGGGATATAGATCAGTTGCAGATATGGGCGGAGAAATGGCAGATGGAGTTTAATACAGGTGAGAGTGAGGTGCTGCACTTTGGCAGATCAAATGTTAAGGAAAAATATAGAGTTAATGGCAGGGCCCTGAGCAGGATTGATGTACAGAGGGATCTTGGGGTTCAAGCCCATGGCTCCCTAAAAGTAGCTCTTCAAGTAGATAGGATGGTAAAGAAGGCATTTGGCATGCTTGCCTTTATTGATCAGGGAATTGAGTATAAGAATCAGTTTTGCAGCTTTATAAGACTTTGGTTGGGCCACACTTAGAGTATTGTGTTCAATTCTGGTTGCTATATTACAGGAAGAATGTGGAGGCTTTGGAGAGGGTGCAGAAGAGGTTGAGCAGAAGGGTCTAGGCCCGAAACATCAGCCTTTCTGCTCCTATGATGCTGCTTGGCCTGCTGTGTTCATCCAGCTCTGCACCTTGTTGACCAGAATGCTGCCTGGATTAGAGGGTATGAACTATAAGGAGAGGCTAGAAAAACTCGAGTTGTTTTCTCTGGAGTGGTGGAGGTTGAGGGGAGACTTGATTGAATTCTATAAAATTATGAGATGCATAGACAGAGTTGACGGTCATAATCTTTTTCCCAGAGTTGAAATATCTAATACTAGGGGACATGCATTTAAGGTGAGAGGGAGAAAGTTCAAAGGAGATGCGAGGGGTAAGTTTTTTACACAGAAAGTGGTAGGAGTCTGGATCGCGCTGCCTGGGGTAGTAGTGGAGGCAGATACAATAGGGGTATTTAAGGGGCTTTTAGATAAGCACATGAATATGCAAGGAATGGAGGGATATGCACCAAGGGCAGGCAAAAGGTATTAGTTTAATTTGGCTTCATGTTCAACACAACATCATGGGCCGAAGGGCCTGTTCCTGTGCTATACAATTCTATCTTCTATGTTCTAATAAAAAGGGGCATCATTTTAGAGTCAAAGGTAGGAGATTTAGAGAGGGGTTGAGGAAACACATTTTCACCCAGAGGGTGGTGAGGGTCTGGAATGCACTGCCGGGGAGGGGAGTTGAGATGTGAAACCTCACAAGTGTTTAAAAAGCAACAAAACCAGAAGTTGCTGGAAAAGCTCAGCAGGTCTGGCAGCATCTGTGAAGGAGAAAACAGAGTTAATGTTTCAGGTCCGGTGACCCTTCCTCAGAACTGATGGTGGCTGGGAAAACGTCAGTTTATATGCAGAAAATAGGGAGGTGGGTGGGGTAGGGAGTAAACGATAGGATAGAGCCCAAAGAGAGAGAAAGACAGTTGGACAGACAAAGGAATTGCTAATGATCAGGCTGGGAGGGTGAATAGTTGTTAATGGGGACTGTTAGTGACTAACAACAGGGGGTGTGTAATGGCAGGCTGTGTGGTAACAAGGCCTGGTGTGTGGGGTGGGGTCTGGGACATGGGAGAGTTTAGGCCCTAAAGTTATTGAACTCAATATTGAGTCCGGAGGACTGTAGGGTCCCCAAGCGGAAAATGAGGTATTGTTCCTCCAGCTTGCGTTGGGCTTCACTGGAACACTGCAGAATTTCCTGCAACCTGCTGGGCTTTTCCAGCAACTTTGTTTTTGTTCTTGCTTTACAGCATCCGCAGTTCTTTTGGTTTTTATTGTGTTTAAGAAGTACTTGAAATAGCATTTGAAATGTCATAACATTCAAGGCTGTGGTCCTAGTGTGGAAAAGTGGGACTTGTGTATACAGGTTAGCACAGACTTGATGGGCTGAAGGGCCACTTCTGTACTGTATATGTTTGTCTTCTCTCTCTCTCTCTTTCAAGACTGTCTGTTTCTTTGTGTGTAGTTCTCAGTAGACTGGCTGTCTTAGTAACAAAAACGGAAGTTGCTGGAAAAGCTCAGCAGGTCTGGCAGCATCTGTGAAGAAAAAAATCAGAGTTAATGTTTTGGGTCAGTTCTGAGGAAGGGTCACCGGACCCAAAACGTTAACTCTGATTTTTTCTTCACAGATGCTGCCAGACCTGCTGAGCTTTTCCAGCAAC